GTGTGATAACGTCCATATAGTATATTGCATTGATCCACAAAATGTAAACAAGGCATATGTTACCTTGGCCAAGTCTAGTGCCTCCGAGAATGGGCATACCTGGCACATTAATTTTAATTATGTAAATGGATTCCTGACCACCAATAAAAGATGAGCTTTAAGGCTCAGGACTTAGGGCCTTTGCAGACTGCCAGAAATGGTGCAAATTGAGTCCACTTTAACTGCCCTGGCTCAGTGCTAGGGAATCATGGGAACTGTAGTTCACTGTGGCACCAGATCTCTCTGACAGAGAAGGCACAATGTCTCAGAAAAAAATACAATTCCCATGATTCCCTAGCATTGAGCCAGGGCAGTTAAAGTGGACTCAATTTGCACTATTTCTCGCAGTCTGCAAAGGCCCAATTTTTAGTCCATGAGTAAACTGTGAGGCTTCTGCCCCTTTATCCCACCTCTTTCCCATTTTCCCTGTAAGGTTCTGCCTAAACTGCCAGGACCACAAAATGTAAGGACTGCCACAAATCTCACTACAGTCACCAAGAGTAAGGGCTTTCCCTCAGCCATGTAAGAAGGACTTCCTCATGTCCTAATTGTGTGTCCACCAACTGTGAGAATCTCCTAGAAGCCCTCAAGTTTTCCTGTGTGAGACATTGGGGCTCTGTAGACGGCGCAAAGCGCTGTCTTGGAACCAGGGAAGGGGAGGAGCAGCCACATGTTGGGTGCACCAACCCCTTTCCGAGGACGTCATCAGAGCACGCACCATTGCACACAGCGAGCGCTCTGATGATGTCCTCCTGGCACAGCATCCAGACATGCTGTGCCGAAAGAGGCGCAAAGGAGCCGCATGGTGGCTCTTCAGGCACCCTTTTTGCCGCCTGGGAAAGGAGCGTTATTTTGGCGTTCCTTTCCCAGTCGCCAAAAGGGTGGATTGGGGCCAAGGCATGAGGCAGCCTTGGCCCCAATCCTCCCCTTCCCAGGGCGGCCCACGGCCACCTTTCTGCATCCCCCCATTGTCTAACTTCTGTCTCCATAGAATTCGATAGTATTGTGTCATGGCAGCTAAATTGGGGTCAAAGTCACTTCTGTTTTGTTCAGGACACCACTCCTCTTTATTCATCGCTGCCAACACAGACACCATGGCTACATCTACACCACAGAATTAAGGCAGTCTGATACCAATTTAACTGCCATGGCTCAATATGGAATTCCAGGATTTATAGTTTTGTGAAATATTTTGATTTCTCTGTCAGAGAGCTCTGGTGCCACAACAAACTACAAATCCCAAGATTCCATAGGATGGAGCCATGGCTGTTAAAGCAGTGTCAACAAACATTAATTCTGCAGTGTGGCAGCAGTGTTCCTGGAGGTGAAAAGTATATGATACAAAAAATATACTTTATTAACAGAACTTTAACATAATAATAAAACAGATTACAGTTGGCCCTCCACATCTGCAGCTTTGACTTTTGCGGATTTGATTATTCACGGATTTGATTAAAATGTTCTTTCTAGGAATCTCTAGGTCCTCCAATGCAACTGTGCTAGAAGTTGGTCATAAAGTCATACTGGAGGGCCTAGAAGTTCCTAGATAAAACAGTTTTCTAGGCATCTGTAGGTCCTGCAGTGCAATTAAGGGTGATCTTTTGTTGGATTTTGGTCACAGAGTTGCGCTGCAGGACCTAGAGCAGGGGTAGGCAACCTTTCCCCTTTAAGGGCCGAGGGACTTCAGCTCCCAGAATCCCAGGAGCTATTGGCCAACATGGGACTATTGGCCAATATGGCTGAGGCTTCTGGGAGCTGAAGTCCCTCGGCCCTTAAAGGGGAAAGGTTGCCTACCCCTGACCTAGAGAGTCCTAGCAAGGTGTTCTCTCAGGTTATAACAAGTTGGGTTTGTTTGTTTTTTTAATTTGCAGATTTTTCACTTTCATGGGGATCCTGTTACCCTGGAAGTGGGCCTGTCCTCAACAATATGCTTACTTAGGGGAATTATGCTTTAGCTCAAAGGGTGGCTGGGTAACTTAGCTTGAGAGGAATGATCCCTATGTATACCAAGTTCAGAGGTATATAGAACTCCAGAGGCAGATTTAATTAAAAGGAGAAATCACACATGCACATAACACAAGCAACCATGTACACACACAAGGACTAGAGAAATCAAGGTGTTAAGTTGGAATAGAGTAAGGCATCACTAATGGTGATACTACACCTGAATGGACCTTGACTTCATTGCAGCTGGTCTGGAAACAGAAGAAGGACTCAATCACTTCATTCCTCGGGACACATGGAGGGTGGCAAGCAAAAGAGGAGCTAGCCTGACAAACTGGCAGCAATTCTGCCTCCATGTTAGACCAAGCCAAAGACACAAGTACCCATATTTATAGCAAAATAATCCATGGGGCAAATTCCAAGGTATTGAAAAGACCAAAAGGTCTTGAGATTCTTTGAAATAGGATTTGAAGTACCTTGGAAATGTTCAGAGATGTTTCGAAGTAGTCTTCCAAGGTGGTGACACTGAGGTGTGAATGGGCATAAATGGGCATGCATTTCTAGGCAGAAGGGTTGAGTGTGCAAGATTGCTGGTGTCTTGTTTATACAGTTGTCCCTCCCCATTCGCGGACTTGGTGTCCGTGGTCTGGCTCTTCACGGGGAGGGATAAGGGCTATATTCATGCATGTGCCATTACTTTCTGAATATTTGTGACCCACCATTTTCATGAGAGGGTGGGTAAGTCTGGAACGGATCCCCCACATTTTTGGGAGGGACAACTGTACTAAATCTGTAGCCCATTGATCTTTTGATCTGGATCTCCTCGCCTCCTTAGAAGGTCCGGAATCAACCATCAAAGCTGGGAGCCTTCATGCAACTCCTCATGCTAGCTTATGTGTTGAGGTTGCTTTACACTAATGGCATCCGCATTATGGAAGGGTCATCTACCCATATTTTATTGAGGTTCTGATATCAAAAGAGGAGGGGTGATGAAAGACAGCCCCTACGGGCCTAACAGCCGCTAATCCCAGTGAATATAGAGGGCCTACTGTAATTATTTAATAAATTTAAAACACATCTCATTATTTCATACTTGTTCCTTCACCAGTATTCTACTAGAATAACTCACATTGCATTAGAAAATTTTAATCTGATAGGTTTGCATAAGAAGTACATGTGCTGAATCACCCCATTAAAATAATCCCTTGGCAGTATTGGGTGATCCCTGGGAATGGATTGTGCACTTTAAGGGACATGTGTGACTCAGTGGCTTTAATGCTTTAGACTTTTAGATGAAAGGTTCAAAACTGCAAAGAGAAATGAGCATTCACATTCTCTGAGAGAAACTCTGAAAGTTTAAGTATATCCCTGCATATATATTTATATTTAAAACACATCTCCATATATATATCTCCAGATAGTGATCTACCTTCAGGGGCTTGTCAGAGGAATCCTTCCAGCTGCTTTTCTGTTCCTGATTTCTAAATATAGTGGGCCCTTGATATAGTCTGGAGTTAGGTTTCAGGATACCCGGTGGATATCAAAATCTGTGGATGCTTAAATCCCATTATATACAGTGGTAGTAAAATGGTGTCCCTTAAGCAAAAATGGCAAAACCAAGGTCTGCTTTTTGGAATGTATGTATTTTTAAAATATTTTCAAGCTGTGGATGGTTGAATCCATGGATAAAATAATCTCTGGCTATGGAGGGCCCAGTGTAGTCAACATGCCACTATCTCTTTCTTGATGACATACGGTAAGTCTCTTTTTATGAAGAAGGCAATGCTTGCAATGCATTCTACATTGATGTTGCCATCCATGATCACACCCACATAACAGGGTCAGTACCATAGATGTTAATGAAGCAGAGGTTAGAAAAGTTTCATTTTTGAATTGCTCTTCCTAGAATCCTTTACGCAACATGGCGATCGGCTGGGAGATGCTGAGAACTATGGGCCAAAAATAAGTGTCAGAAACTCTCCTTCTAATGGTAGAGGTAAAGCAATGCTTAGTCAATGCAACATCAAGCATCTTATTTTCATAGCAGCAGATTTCTGCACCTTCCCCCTTCCCATGAATTCTATAGAAAAGAGCAACCCTAAAAATCAAGAGATCTGACTAACTCCACCATGAAAAAAAGTTACAAATTCCCTACCCCTCCTTTCTCTCTCTCAAAAAACTTGATTAGTGGACTGGAATAGAAGGAGCAATTTTAAAGAGAAGTGGAAAGTGCTTTTCTAGGCATTTTTGTCTCATGGTGAGGGTTATCTCTGCTCATGGAGCCCCAAAGGATTGCTTTCTAGAAGGAAAAGGTCCATCTCATCTGCCTACCCTTATTGCTCTTTAAATTGCTCCACTGCATCCTACTTCTTATTGCATCTTGTCAGCTTTCATTATATCTAATTTGCCCTTTGTGTCCCATTTAACCCCCATACACTAGCACAGGGCATTATGTGATCATGCTGGCTTATGGAGTCCACACAGACCTAGAACTAGAATGAAGGCATTCTGAACCACTGGCATTTGACAGTGGCATCACTAGGGGGTGCAGGAGGTGCAGACCACACTGGGTGACACCCCAGAGGAGGGGCTCTATCGACACTTGGCAACCCTTCCAGAGTCTAGCTGGGTGACGGGCAACCAGGCAACCAGGGAAAGGGGGTAGGGTTCTGAATTAGCAGCCCCCCCTACCCTCTGGCAACCCTCTGCAGTGGGTGACACCCTAGCTAGTGTCACTGCTGCCTGAAGAGCTGTAAACCATGGCCCCAAATTTCAGGCACTCTACAAAATCCTGAAGCTTGTAGCTGGCAACGCACTAGAGCACTTTGACTGAGAAGGCTAAATGTTCCTCCCTGGACTGCCAGTCCCAGGATTCCATAGGATGGAACCAGGGCAATTAAAGTGGAAGAATAGAGCTATAAATATGTAATGTTATTGGGCCCAAACACACAGACTTCCTCAAAATCTAATGCTTTTGGTTTTGGGGTACTTCCCCCCCAACTATGGCACACAACAACAACAACAGTTCAAATGCATGCCACGGCCCTAACACTTAAGAGACATAGCTGTGTTAGTCTGGAATATCAGTATGCAAAAGGATCTTGTAGGACTGTAGAAACTTTCAGAGTAGAAGACCTTGTAGCATAAGCCTTCGTAGACTAGAATTCCATAGCATTGAGCCATAGCAGTTAAAGTGGTGTCAAATTGCATTAATTTGCAGTGCAGATGCAGCCCAAGTCTATGGATGTTATCACATGGGGGAAATCTGCTGGTTAATCCACACAAA